CCCCAAAACCCCAAAACCCCAAAACCCCAAAACCCCAAACTTAGCCCAGGAGGTTGAAAATTACTATTCTATACTTATAGCTATTTAAGATAATCGCCGAAAGTTTGTGAAAATATTAAGTAAATTAAAGATGCCTTGGTTATCTTCCTTTGGAGATTTTCTCTCATGCTTTCAACATTTCTTCCCTTGCAGCCTTGTTAGGGATCAAATTCAAGGCTGGATCTCTGATTTTCTTTTCAAAGTCATCAAAAACCCTCTTGAAGTAGGGGTTCTTTGTGTAGAATTCAATGATAGCAATTTTAGAAGTTTTGCTCCTCCCTTTAACAAGATCTTCAAACTTCTTAAGCTTTACAGGTTCATCCTCAAAGAAAACCTGTAGAGTCTTGAGAACTTTATTCCTGGGGTAGCTCAACACAATGTGGTAGAAAAAGAGATCCTCCATCTCTTGTGGATTTGATATAGAATGAAACTTTCAGCAAAATCTGATATAATTCTTGACCCAGCACTTGAAATAGTCCCCAAAATCATCAGACTTGAACTTTCACTTCGAACCTGTTTTGAGCATAAAATTATTCGACTCCTTATTCACTGCTCTATATATCCAGTTAAGTCTACTCCAAAAGCCTTTCATCACTCCCCATTCCAACCTTTCCCCCCAAAATCCCCACCTTATTCTCAGTCTTCATCTCAAAATTCCCAATTTCCCCTTAAAAATTCTAATTTCTTCGAACAGAGTAAAAATTTCAGTTAAAATTTGGGAAGAGCTAGGCTATTCTGGTCGTGAGAGCCAGGGAATTTTGGTATGGGCAGAAGAGGAAGCGGGGGCTCTTTAGGTTAGGGGAGTTAAGGGAAGGAGGTAAGAGAGATGTGGTAGGGTGTGGGTTACGACTAGTTTTAGGGAGAGAAATGGTCTAGTCTGAAGTAATGAAGAGATGTAAGAGTAGTGATTGAATAAAGATGTACTCACCTGAAGACAATAGTGATTATAGCATCGGGTCTTTTCGAATCTTTGTTCTTTCTGGTTTGGGCTAGAGAAAGTTAAGTGAGGATTCTACCAAATTTATACTTACTTCATTTATTCTTTAAAGACTCCCTGAAAATGTCTATCATTCTTCTCATGCTGTTGGTAGCTACATTTTCAGGTCTGCCTCTACGAGGCTCTTCCCTCTCCTTTATAAAGAAATCTTCTTTCTGAATAATCGCTTGTCTTAGGTACTCAAATGCTTCCTCACCAGTCATTGGTTCCTTATCCTCGCTGGAAGAATTCCTCCTGGGCAACTTTATTTCCTCTAACTCAGCAAAGTCACTTTCCGAGAGGTTCTTGCTAACCTTCTCCCAGTTAGGCTTGGCCTGGCTTTGCTTTGTTGGTGCAGGGGAGCCACAAGCGGTTTGCTCCTCAGGATAGTCCTGTAAAATTTTTTGGTCTATTGAATCTTCGAAGCTGCCTGATCAATAAAGGCCGAATTTTGATGATAGGATAAGCTCACTTAGGGCATCAAATTCTTTCCCTTCAAACTGGGTTGGAGAAGGACTATCGAAGAGGCTAAAATGAACACTTTCTTCATCAGAGATCACGATGTCGGTAGAAGGGCTGTGCTCTAAAATTTCATTTACATCTTCTTTTCTAGTTATGCCATCTTGGTAGAGATGAGAAGTATTATGAGTAACTTCTTGGATAAGCAGTTCTTGTGAGTGCATAGTCTTCACCTTCTTTTTATCAAAAGATCCTACATTGATAGAGGTATCTTTTGGTTGCTCAGTTTTAGCCAATTTTTGACAGTAAGCTCCATTACATTTCTTCTGTTTGTCATCTTCTAGTTTTCAGTTAATTTCAGGTAGATATCCTTGACTGAGATTCTTACTATTACATGAGGAGCCAAGTTCTGTCAATTGGAATTGGAACATTTGATCATCATCAAGCTCGTTATACACACCTGTTATATTATTCTTCATGTTTTATAAATTATATTATAATGTGAAAGATCTCCATTAAGATTTTAACTTGGGGTTTTGGGGTTTTGGGGTTTTGGGGTTTTGGGG